TTTCAGGCATGCAGCTTTCAGTGCCAAGATTACCCCAGCTCCTACTTTACTATGTACGCATCACTGCTGCACCCAGCTCACTTATAAAAACTAATTTTCTCAGGGATAACAGTGTATTAATCACTTCCTCAGGTTCTATCTGCGGGATTCCCTCAGGAGCCTCCCGGTTCTCCGGGGCGCGGGCGGTGATTCCCCCTCAGGGGTGGTGGGAGGGGGTGCCGAGCCGGCATTTTCCGGCCGGGAGCGCTCCAGAGGAGCGAGGGGAACAGAAGTGAAGCTCCCAACCTGGAGCAGGCGGTGAATCCCCCTCAGGGATGTTGGCAGAGGGCGGTGAGGCGGCATTTTTCCCGCCGGGAGCGCTCCTGAAGAGCGAGGGGCACAAAAATGACGCGCCCAGCGGGGAGCGGGCGGTGAATCCCCCTCAGGGGCGGCGGGAGGCCGTTTGCCCACCGGGACGCCTCCCGAAGGGTGAGGGGCGCAAAACTAACGCTCCCAAACGCGAGGCAGCGGTGGAACCTCCCTCGTGGCCACGGTGGTGACGAGGAGGGATTTTCCCGCCGCGAGCGCTCCAGGAGGGAATTGGAGGAGAAGGATTGCAGGGGGGGGCACAAAATACATGCGCCCAACGTGGGGCTCGAACCCACGACCCTGGGATTAAGAGTCCCATGCTCTACCGACTGAGCTAGCCGGGCGCTGACTGAGCCTTCCACGGGGCGGCCCTTCAGCGCACGGCGCGTGACGTCACCCCGGGGGCGGCCGCCGGGCGCCCAATGCGCGCGCGCGTTGCTGCGCGGTGCGCGCGGGCCGGGCCGGGCTGGGAGCGGCGCCGCCATGAGCTCCATCGGCACCGGGGTGAGTGCGCCGGGACCGCCCCGGGATAGCGGGATCGCCCCGGGATAGCGGGATATCCCCGGCATCGTCCCACCCCCATCGCCCCCGGGGCCGCGCGGCGCCGGGGTGAGGGTGCGGGGGGCGGCCGCGGGGCTCTGCGGGAGGGCTGAGTCACTGCGGCCCGGGAGGCCCCGGGAAGCGGCGGCGGGGGCGGGGCGGGGGTAAAACACTGATTGTACTTCTCTGCAGAGTGTACTCTTGTGCATTTCAAACGTGGTCCTGCCACCGGGAATTGTGAAAGAAAGCGGGGCCTGCAGGGAGGCCGGAGAGGGGCTCCTGGTTGGGGGTTGTGGTGAGAGGACAAGGAGTGATGGGAGCAGAGGGGAAGAGGTTGGGAATTGGAAACTGAATTTAGGTTGGATATTGGGAAGAAATTCTTGGCTTTGAGGATGGGGAGGCCCTGACACAGGTTGCCCAGAGAAGCTGGGGCTGCCCCATCCCTGGAAGTGTTCAGGGCCGGGTTGGACGGGGCTTGGAGCAACCTGGTCTAGTGGAAGGTGTCCCTGCCCATGGCAGAGATGGCCTTTAACATCTCTTCTAACCCAAACCAGTCTAGGATTCTGTAGAATGTGAAGGCGGACAGAAAGTTCCTGTAAGTCTGAGATGTTGTGTAATGCACAGTGATTTCAGCCCCCTTCAGCATCTGGATTGATGGGATTTTCAGTTTCATCCAGCACTGATGAAATGGCCTTTCCTGGCTTTTAGTGTCTGTTTTTTTCTGTCTTATAAGACCCACCCTGCTCCTGGGACTGCACAGCATTTTTCAATAAGCTGACTTGATCTTTAAACACCGGGATATGATGTGTTTGGTTTTTTTTCCCTGAGCATTTTGTTTTCTCCTCCAGTACGACCTGTCAGCTTCCACGTTTTCTCCAGATGGCAGAGTCTTTCAGGTGGAATATGCTATGAAAGCAGTGGAGAACAGCAGGTAAGATACAAATATCTGCACCTCTGTCTTGTTTGCTGGGCTCTTTTAAAGCAGTGTCGTTGGACTACAGAAAGATGATGGTGTTCCACTATCCCAGGTTGCTCCAAGCCCCGTCCAACCTGGCCTGGAACACTTCCAGGGATGGGGCAGCCACAGCTTCTCTGGGCCATGTGTTGCAAACAGCCTGTTCCTTGGTCAGCCAGATGTTTTGTGGGTGCCATGGTTGGTGGTTTATGCCTGATGAGGTAGTTTTTGAGGGTTAGAGTTGTCCCATCTCCTAGATCAGCAGGGAATTTGCCAAAAGGAGAGGTTGACCAGTCCGTGAATTTCACTCCAGTGTCGCTCAGCTGAGCGTGGCAGTGGCTCAGCCCTTGCTCCAAACAATTCCCCCACTGCATGTCCTCTGTTCAGGAATCTTCGGGTTAGGACTTTTGGCAGCCCCCACCTCCTTTGTCTGAGAAAATGTTTGTAGGTTTAGTGAACTTTGGCTTTTTTTCCTCAGTGCTCAAGTGGAGTTATAACAAATGTACTTCTGTGGGAATCACCTGATTGTTTGTGGTATCTCATTAATTCTCTGTTATTTATTTTCCACTGTGGTTCTCTGTGAGGAACTGACATTTATCTTGTCTTCCAGTACAGCAATTGGGATAAGGTGCAAAGATGGTGTTGTCTTTGGAGTAGAAAAACTAGTCCTGTCCAAGCTTTACGAGGAGGGTTCCAACAAACGGCTCTTCAATGTCGACCGACACGTTGGGATGGTAAGGGGCCACTTCATTTTGGGTTTCCCTAAATTCCAAGGGACCCCCCTCAAAAGGAGAAATCTTATCAATCAGAGGGTCAATAATAAGTAGATTCAGAAATTAATGCTAATGTTTCTGTGTGCAGAAAATGCCAGTGGGCTTTTTACTGTTTTCTGGAATTTATTCTCGATTGCTCACAAACATGCACAAATAAAAGCCAGATTTATTACAGAAGATGGACATATTTTGAGGCTGTTTTAACTTTTTTTGAAATGCTTTTCAGCATTCCAGTTGAATGAAAATCTAAACACAAGTGTTAAAGTGGTTTCCTACGCAGTTAACAAAGAAGGTGTGCTGAGGGCTGCATTCGAGATTCTCTTCTCACCAGTGTGGGAATTACCTGAATTCTTTAAATACTGGTGTATGGATGGCTAATCCACCCCAGTGATGCCAGGATGATGCCATGTGGTGGTTACTGTGTGACAAAAATGTGAAACCTGTTGGATATACAGGATATGAAATATTGTTTGGGTTAGTGCAGCCATGGCAAATCACAAGATAACACGAAGGTAACTATGGGTGTTGATTTTCCTGGAGAAAAACTAATCTGTGTTGATGTATAACCACATTGACACGTTTTGAGCTTGATGGCAGATGAAGATGACTTCTGAATTCACTGCTAGTCATTAATTTCAGTGAGGATGATGAAATGTGTGGCAGGCCTGGCTGATTGAATTCTCCCTGCAGGCAGTGGCAGGGCTGCTGGCAGACGCCCGCTCCTTGGCAGACATCGCCAGGGAAGAGGCTTCCAACTTCAGATCCAACTATGGCTATGATATTCCTCTGAAGGTAAGGAAATCTCAGGTGCTTTTTTTTTTTGGCTTATAGTCTTGACATGAGAATTCAGTGTTCTCACTTTGAGGTTTGGGTCCTGTAAATGAGGGTTTGCAGCGTTTGTTTTCCCCCTTCCCACACAGCACCTTGCGGACAGAGTGGCCATGTACGTGCACGCCTACACCCTGTACAGTGCTGTCAGACCCTTTGGCTGCAGGTGAGTGCCACACACACGCTTTGTAACTGTCTTTTGGTTCACAATTTTGCTGGCATTGCCTGTCCATTGGAATTAGCAATCCACAGTTCACCTCATAAAAAGATTCCCCTCTCCGTTCTTTTCCTGCGTTGTGTAAAACCTCAGGAGAAGAATTCAGATTCCTGGAGCAGATGGCCAGTTTGTTCCTGGGTTTTAAAGTTGAAGAGTTTGTGCTGTCAAGTCTGTGAGAGTGGCAAAAGCAGAACTTTCCTCTGCAATCATCCGGGTTTTATCCTGATACCCAAAGAGCAGGTTACAGTTACTGTGTGGTTTTAGTACAAAGGGACTGATAAACAGATCAAGGTACTGGTCATTAAAATGTTTCTGATAACTTGCTGTCCTGAGAACACTCAACAGCTGCTCCACAGAGTGGAGCAGGAGTTTTGCCCCAGGAGCAGTGGAGGAAACCTGGGCTGGTGTGGTGGTCTCTGTAGTTCTGGGTGTGTTGGCAGAAGAAATGTCTTTAATTTCTCTTTTCTCCTCCAGTTTCATGTTGGGGTCCTATGACAGTGATGATGGTGCACAGCTGTACATGATTGATCCATCAGGAGTCTCATACGTGAGTGTGTCACAGATATTTCCATCTTGGAGTAAATTCCCCTTTAAAAAATTCCCAGTTAGGAAAAGGAGTGAGTGTTGGTCCAGAAGGGCTGTTGATTTTGCCTCTCTTTGCCTGGGAACATCTCTGGGGAATCAGTGCTTCAGATGAGCAGGGCTGGGGTTTGCTCATTTCACAGTAGGTGGGTTTAGGTGTTGTTTTTTTTTTTTTTTTTTGATCTGTAGTTCCTGTAGAACTTCTCTCTTCAAATTAATTCTGGTTTGTTCTTCCATTTATTGTAACAGCAATAAAAAAAAACTATTATAAAATTTTGAGCAGATAAGTTTCTGTCCAGGAACTACTGAGCACTCCTCTTTTCTGTCAACAGAGGTAGCACTTGATTTAGAAATTGGGTTCTGCTCAACAATTTGGGGGTGTGCCCTGAGAGAACAACACCAATACTGTGTATTGGTCTCTCATTATGTGAGCAGGGTGGGGTTGTCACGTCCTAAGGGACAGTAAGAGCTGTAGAAAGTTTAATATTTAATTCATTTGCATATTTTTTCTCTCTCTTTTTTTTTTTTTTAGGGTTATTGGGGGTGTGCCATTGGTAAAGCCAGGCAGGCTGCAAAAACAGAGATAGAAAAACTTCAGGTACTTTATGATGTTCTCTTTTTGGATGCCTAAAATGTGTAAAATAAGGAGAAGCAGGTGGAATATTTCCTTTTACATTTGCTAGTAAAGTAAGTGAGTGAATACAAAATTGTAAATAAGCTTTTAATTCTGGTTGAAAACCAGAAGGCAGCATTGTATAGGGTGCTGTATCTTATATTTTCCCAAAAGTTTTAGATGATCCTTTTATTTTACAAGTTCAGAAAAGCTGGTCTTGTTAAGGACAAACTAATCTGTGGAGACCAGACTGCCAAAAGGAATTGAAATGTGCCTTAAGCTGATTTGAATGATGTGAGAATCCTGAAGCATCTCCATCTTGTATTTTAATATCTGACACCCTTGGAGTTGGAGACAGCACTCTTGGAGTTGGGAATCCTTCTCCTGGGCTGTCTCATGGGCTGTTTATGTGATCCTTTGCTTGCTTCTTATTTTTTTGGTGTGCAAAGGGACATCATATCTTTTCATGGAAAAGTTCAGAGTTTAGATGATTGTTATCATGACTGAAAAATTACAGGAAAATTAGAACATTCCTAGACTTGGTTCAGTCAGTTCTGAATCTGGTCAGATGCTTGAATACCAAATT